AGATTTCCTTCCCTGCTGAATTGTCTTGGCACCTTTGTTGAATTGTGACTCATTCTGATTAATTTCTGTGTATGGTAACAGGTATGGATCAAAATTCTTTTTTCTTTTCTTCCTTCCTTTCCTTCCCTGCTCTCCTCTCCTCTCTTCCCCTCCCCCCTCCCCCTCCCCTCCCCCTTTCCTTCTCTTCTTCTTCTTCTTCTTCTTGTCTCTTGTCTTCATTTCTTGTCATATTCATAGTCAATTGTTCTAGCACCATTGTGGAAAAGCTATTCCTCCTCTTTGGAATGGCATTTGTTCCTTTGTCAAAATAAAAATCTCTCTCTCTCTCTCTCTATATATATATATACACACACACACACACACACACATATATATATATATAAATACACATATATATATATAATTCTGGACCATACATCCTGTTCCATTGATCTATTTGCCTGTCTCCATACCAATCCACAATGTCTTGATTACAGTAACTTTATAGGTCTTAAAATCAGGTAGCATAAATCCTTTTTCCTCTTTTTCAAGTTGATTGGATATTCTAGGTCCTTTTCATTTCCATATGGTTTTAGGATCAACTTGTGAATTTCTACAAGAAAAGCCTATTAGTGATTGAGAGTGCATTGACTCTACAGAGCAAACGAGGAGACTTGACATCTTAATATTTAGTCTTCTGATTCGCGAACATTGGTACATCCCTTCATTAATATTTCAGTCTCTTTTTTAATTTCTCTGAGTATCACTTTATAATTTTCACTGTACAAGTCTTCCATACATTTTGTCAGATTTGGCCCTAAATATTTCATGTTTTTGGTATCATTGTAAATGTATTTTTTCAATTTCCAGTTGTTTATCACTAGTAAGTGGAAGTATAATTAATTTTCTCATATTTTCATCTTATACCCTGCAACTTTGCTATACTCAGTTCTTAATTGTAATAGCTTTTTTTTGATGTTCTACAGGATACTTTACATGGACTATTTTGTATATGTCAGTAGAAATGATCTAACTCTTCCTTTCTCATCTGAATGCCCTTTATTTCTTTTCTTGACTTATTGCACTGGATAAAACGCTAAATAGGGGTAGTGAGAGTAGATATCCTTGTTTTATTCCTAATCTGTGGGGGGAAGCAATCAGCCCTTCACTGTTAAGTATGAAGTTAGCTGCAGGTTCTTTGGTAGATGCCCTTTTTCAAACTGAGGACATCCCCTTCTCTCTCGGTTTGCTGGCATTTTGTTTGTTTTGTTTTTTAATCAGAAACGGATGTCTGATTTTGTAGAATGGAGTTTTTGCGCTTATTAAAATGATTACATGTCTTTCTTCTTTAGTTTATTAATATGGTGCATTATACTGATTGGTTTTCCACGTAAAGCCAACTTTTTATTCCTGGGACAACCAAACTTGGTCATGGTATACTTTCCTTTTCCTTTATAGGCATGGGCAAAAGTAGGTTAATATAATAGTAAATAATACACTGGTTAATAAGTAAATACTAAAATAAGAATAAACTCTGTGTTTCATGTACTCACAGCTGTAAACCTACTTTCACCCATGCCCGTAGGATGAGATTTTGGGGGGCTTAACATTTTTATTAAGAATTTTTGCATCTATGTTTGTGAGGGGTATTAGCCTGCAGTTTTCTTGTAATATCTTTATCTGGCTTGGGTATCAGAATCATTCTGCCTTTACAGAATGAATTTGGAAGCATTTCCTCCACTTAAATATTTAGGAAGAAATGGGTGTTATAAGCTGAACTGTGTCCTCTAGAAATTCATATATTGAAGCCCCAGCCCCGAGTGTCTCGTGTATTTGGAGAAAGGGCTTTACAGAGTGAGTAAGTTAAAATGAAACGATTGGTGTGAGCCCTAATCTAATCTGCCTGGTGTCTTTACGAGAGGAAATCTGGACTCACAAAGAGACGAGAAGCACGTGTGCGCAGAGGAGAGACCATGTGAGGGCAGTGAGAAGGTGGCCATCGGCAAGCCAAGCAGAGAAGCCTCAAAATGAAGCCAAACCTGCCAGCACCTTGACCTTGGACTTCCAGCCTCCGGAACTGTGAGAAAATACATGTCTGTTGTTTAAGCCCTGGGGGGGCTTAATGTCTGTGGTGTATTGTTATGGCAGCCCTAGCAGTTTAATGCAGTTGGCATTATTTCTTCCCTAGCCATTGGGTTGAGTTCGCCAGTGAAGCCACCTGGACCAGGAGTTTATTTATGAGAAGGTTTAAACAACATATTCAATTTCTTCAATAGATATAGAGCTATTTCCAGTCGAGTGAGTTGAGTGAGTTTATGTCTTTCAATGAAATTGAGCATTCCATCTTAGTTGTTGGTATTGTCTTACATTCAATACAGAAAATGACAAGTAATAAAATAAAACCATCAGTTATTCCACTGCCTAAAAATAACCATTACCAGTGTTTTGCTGTTGATCCTTCCCCATAGTTTGTATATGTGTGTTCATCAGCCCCTTCAAGGCCCCTCCTTTTTGTTCTTACAAAATTGCTATTACCCTTCATATCCAGGGTTTTGCGTTTCATATCATCCAATTTTTTAAAACATGGTTATGAATGGGTGGTTACTCACTTGCTCAACTCCCCCTCCCCCAGCCGAAGTGTCTCCCGATTTGGGGGGTGCATCACATGAAACACCACCGTCGGTGGTGACTTTGTCATCCATCTCTGGGAATAACTCCGGTTGGCTTCTTGGTTTACAGTTCCCGAGTGGAATTACTGGGTCGACCAGTTTATTATTATTGACTTCTGGTGCTGAGCGCTCTGTGCTTGGGAAGGGGAGGGTGGGGAGAGGGAAGAGCTGACCCCCGCCCCACTCCCCACCTCGGGGGCTTGCCTTCCGCAGACCAGCCCAACCAGCACAGCCAGTGGGAATGCCAGAGGAGAGCATGGCAACGGGGCTGTTGGGAGGCCCTCGGGGGTCCTCCACCCCTGTCGTGGCCTCCTTGGCGTAGATCTAAGTGGCTCTGGGTTACCTGTAGGTCAGGGACTGTACCTTCCATTTGCGGACTGTGCTGAGCCTTCCTTCTTAGCTCTTCCTCCTTGGGAGTGTTGTGATATCATTATGAAGCATATGCAAAATCCAAGTAAAAACTGAACTGAGCTTTGTGCAGGCAAGTGAAGGCAGAGCCCAGGCTTCTCCTCCCACCATCTGCAGTCCTCGGGGAGCGCCCAGTCTGGCGAGGCAGGTCCTGTCCCCTGGGAAACCCCCGGGGCTTTGGAGGAAGTAATGTCCTCTGTTTTCCAGGATGCCCAGTCTCAGCGAATTTCCAAGATCCGCACACCAAAACACAGCCACGTACCTACCTCTGAGGGAATAAGGAAGGGCCGATGAGTGCCTTTCCAGGGAGGCGTGTGTGATCGGATGCAGGGGTTTTTCTAGAGCTTCTGGGAAGGAGAAGGGCCTGGACCCATGGAGAGGAAGTTTAGCAGAGGGAGGACGGGGACTAGGAAGAGCGGGGAGTGACATGTGGCACCTGCTGGCCAACTGGTGCCGGAGAGTCCCCAAGTAGGAAGAGAAGGCTTGTCAGCAACTTTGGGGACCTTAGGAGAGAAGGTCCTTCAGGAAGAAGGTGCTGGCCAATGTGAAGGCAGGGGATTATTTGGAGTTTTAATTCTCCCCCAGACCTTGTTCTCCCCTCCCCCACCCAAGTTCACTTCAAGACTCGAGACGGAGCCTCGGCCGGCAATGTTCGGGTCCCTCCCTGAGCACCTACCCTGTGCCCACACGGCATGACACCGCCACCTGCTCGCACAGTCCTCTCTTAGTGAAGCCTGGTGACAGCCAGTCTCCAGCTGAGGACACAGAGGCCAGAGTCTCAGAGCAACGCTATGGGGGTGCTGGGCTCAGAGCCCCACCAGTGGGACTGACCCGGCCTCCAGGGCCTCCCCAAGCTCCAGGTCCCTCTGCTTCTCTGCTGACCGTCCTTTCCCCACACATGCCACCCCCTAACAAGAGGCACGTGGCACCCACGCCCAGGCCACTGGGCTCCCACCCAGAAGCACATCTGTGATGTCTGGAGACATTGGTTGTCAGACTTGGGGGGGGGGGCGGCTCCTACTGGATCTAGCATGGAGGTCAAGGGTCTGGTCAGCACGAGGGGCGTGGGGCCGCATGCCAGTGGTCAGGCAGGTTCACCCTCCACATGCAAGTGGAGTGCTTCCTGCCAGAGGCATGTGTCTGTGCCCCTCGAGTTTAAGCCAGATGAGGGCACCCACACACGTGCAGGTGTGGAGGGGACCCTTATGGAGAGCGCCTAGCCACACGGAGACCCTCAGGAAGATCCTCTCCTCCACTGAATCCCACGCGGGCTCCCCCTCCGACTGGGCCTTGACTTTGGGGCTCCCGTGTCTGTCTTTGTACTGCCTAGTTTCAGGAAGAACCCTGTTAAGTTAGCTCAGCCAGGACCCCCATCCTCAGTACCTGATCATCTGCAGCACCTACCTGATGGGGTCCCGCCTCCCCCTTCCTCCCCTGTGACGTCTGATCGCCCTGGGCCATCTTCAGCCAGCATCCCCCAGCCCCTGATGGTTCCTCTTAGTATTTTCCACCCACTGATCCCCCATCTCCTCCTTGGCTAGAAATTCCTGCTTCTCCTTGCTGTATTTGGAGTTGAGTTCAATCTCCCTTCCCTAAGGTAGGACCTCACTACAGTTGTCCCTAAACCTATTGCAACATCCCCCTTGAGTAAAGTCTGCCCCGCGGTCCTTTAGCAAGTGTCATTGAATAATTTGAACATCCTTTTCAGATGGGAACAGAGAGGACTTTGGACTAACTTTCTTTCAGATGCATGGGGAGGGGCCAACTCCCAGTCAGGTGCATAAGCCCGCACCCTTCGTGGGCCAGAGCACCCCCAGGTGGGGACTTCACCAGCTGTGGCATCTGTGGGCGGGGCAGTGGCAGTGGTGGTGGGAGGGAGGGGGTGGAGCCTCCTTTTTCTAGGGCATGTGTCACTGGCCTCCTGCCCACAGGCACTGCCCTGGCACTACCCTGCCAGTGTAGGTGGCAGCGAGAAGCTGGGGCCTACTCCCCAGAGCCTTTGGAGCAGATCACAGAGCTTTGGAGCCCTATGTCGCTGGCCCCCCAGAACCCAAGACATGGCAGATGGGGCGCAGGCCAACCCCAAAGGGTTCAGGAAGAAGGCGCTGGTTAGACACCCCTCTGGATGGAGGGGTTCAAATCTCAGGGCCTCTTTGTCTTCGAGGACCTCCAGGTACGTGCCTGCTCCCCCGGGATGGGGCTCTCCGAGGACAGGAGAGGGGTTGGAGGCGGGGAACTGGCTCCTTGGACCCGTTTCTCCGGGAAGGAGAGCTCTGAGTCTCTGAGTGATAGCTGAGAAAAGTCACTACTCTGTCAGCACTGGAAGGGCCTTACAGATCATCTAGTCAATCTGCATGAGGCCACTGAGGCCCAGAGAGGCTAAGAAGTCTATCCAAGGTCATACAGCATTTTAGAAGCAGAGCTGGGACTAGAACCCAGAGCTCCCGGTCTCTCGGCTCCAGCCCTGAGGGCAAGACCCAGTGTGACTTTCTGGTGCAAGTACGCAAGGGGCTGGTTCTGATCTGCGACAGCGGTCGGACCCCCACGAGGCAGCGAGCTGCCTGTCTTGAAAGCTGACTCCTGCTCAGGGCAGGAGGGGAGCAGGCTCCTGCTGCTGCCTCCTGGCTCTGCCGAGCTGGGGGCTGTGCCTGCAGGAGGCACAGGGCAGGTAGGAGGTGCTAGGATCTTCCTGGAGGTGGTAATCACAGGGATGGGGCAGCAGGAACCAGAGCACCCATGTCATCCGGGTCATCAGGGGACAGCACTGAGGCCACCTGTCATGATAATGAGGCCCAGGAGGGAGCCACGGGCCTGGAACTGCAGGGAGGCAGCACGGCCCCGCTCAGGACCTGGGTTTTCTTCCTCTCCCAGGTCTAGCCTGGCTATGAAGCTCTTCACCATCGCCATCCTGGCTGGCAGCCGTGAGTAAAGGCTCCGGGGAGATGCCTCCTTCTCCCCAACCCCATTGGGCTTAGTTCCCCTCCCACTGACCAGCAGCAAGACCTCGGGCCTGTCCTTGGCCTCCAATGCCCCTGTCAGGCCTCGCCCTCTCTCTGGGGCTGTTCATTTCTCCACCACCTGTAAACACGCCACGAGCAGTTGGCATTTACAAGCCTCAAGAGGCAGGGCCCAGAGCTGAGCAAGCATCGTAAAGTGGCGGTGTGTGCTGGGCGTCTGGGCACCCTGTCAAACCTAGGCGTGTGTGTACATAGGAGCGTGTGTTTGTGTACGTGTGTACGTGTAGACAAGCTGATAGTTTGTGTGAGAATATACAGTCTGTGTGCGTGGTGACCCTGTGCACAGCACGCATCAATAAAACGTGTGAGTGTGTGTGGATCGAGTTGTGTGTGTCTAGAGGGTGTGTATGACCACAGGGGTGTGTATATCTGTGTGTGGTGTGTGTGGAGCAGAGGTGTCTGCGTGAGCTAATAAAACGACGATGCGACAGGTCTGGGGACTCCTTACTCAGGGTGGTGACCCCGGGTGTAAGGATCGGGGATGGCTGAGGCCTCTGACACAGATCGGCCCCCCACACAGCCAGGAGTTCCGGTGGCAGGGGCCTGAGGCTGGTGGAAAATGGACTGAGCCTGCCTCTGGCTTTCCACCCAGCCTGTTACCCGTCTCCTGGACACCGCCTGCTCTGAGGACAAGAAACACCAGAAACAAAATAAGGCTAAAAGTGGCTGGAAAGAGAAATTGTTGGTTGCATTTAGGCAAAGTAACCTGTTATTTAGAAAGCAAACACTTGAGTTCAGCCTAAACCCCGGGCCGGGGACAGAGCCGTCAGCCTGACTGGATGAAGACTTCACGTCTTCCACTTGGATGTGAATGCGGACGTGGCCCTGGCCATAGGTTCACTCTGGGTGCTGCCTGGGAGTGTATTTGTGATGTGCGAGTGTGTGTATGAGTGTGAGATGTATACGTCGTGCCCGAGTGTGTGAGGCGTTTGCGGGCGACTCTGCCTATGAGTGTGTGGGGTTGGCGACTGTGAGAGTGTGCATCTGTATGCATGAAGCACACATGGGTGTGTTTGCGTGCCAGTGTGTGTAGAAGTGCGCAGGGTGTGAAGGACAGGACGAGGTGGGTGTGTTTATGTCTGTGTTTGTGTCCACACTTTGTGTGGGCTGGTGAGTTTCTCACTCTTCTTCTCTTACGGGGTGCACCCTGGGGATGAAAGATGCACCTCCCCCTGCCCCCAAGGGGGTTAATGACTAGAGGGTGGGTGGGGGTAGGGAGCCAGGACCTCATGGGTCTCCGCACAGGGCGCCCTGCAGGAGAATGTCGTCATCGGCTGTCGTCAGATTTAGGAATCAAGGTGGAAGAGGTTATGCAATCTGCCCAGAGCCTCGCGGTGTTAATGGAGAAACCTGTTTGCAAACCCAGTCTGTCTGACTCCAAAGTTGCTGGGCACACACATTTTTCTCCTGCACCAAGGAGCCAGCAGAGAGGAGGTGGGGAGGGGGAGGTTAGAACTAATGTCCCCAGGTACCTGTCCCGGCCTTTCAACAGCCACCGCCACCAAATCCCTATGCAGCTCAGGAAAGAGGCTCAGGCCCACAGGATGCAGGGTCCTCTCTCTCTCCCTGACCTGGGCCCCAGGGTAGACACTGACACGGCTCCTAACCATCCTCTTAAAGTCGCCTGTCACTTCTCCCCACTTCTTCCCCGTGTCCTCTCTGCTTTGCTCCTTATTCTCCGTAATGACGAAGATCGCAGAGCCGACACACAGGGAGACCCAGGCAGAGCAGGACTCCCAACATCAGCTCTCTGAGGGAGAGGTCCAGCGGGTGGGTCCAGCCAGGAGCTGGCGGGTGCTGTGCAGGGAGTGAGCATCTGGTGGTCTGGCGTGTGCTGGCCCCAGGGATTCCAGGAGGTCAGTACTGTTGTTCCCATTCTACAGATGGGAACACGGAGCCCCAGGGAGCGGAAGCTATGGGCCCCAGTCTGTCTGATTGGCTAACTAAGGCACGTTGAGGTCGTGAGTTCCCCGTCACTAGCAATGTGGGACAACCACGTCTCAGGAAGGAAGTAATTGTGGCCTTTGGGATCCCATCCAACATCTGGTTTATGAAATTCTTGACTCCTCCCTCTCCTGGTACATTTCCTATATCAGGCGGTACAGCGGGGTGGGGAGTGTGGCGAGCACAGGGGCAGGGTGCTGCACCGGGCACCCAACCCCGGGCCCAGCTGGAGGAGCCAGGGTGGGGAAGGCGGGCAGGTGCTGCCCTTCTTGGTGGTGGCATCACAGCTCCGGGACACAAAAGTCTGGGATCCTGTCTGAGCTCTGCCACCTCCAGGCTGTATGACCTGTACTGTTCTGAGGCTTGGTTTGCTCGTCCGTAAAATGGGGATAGAGCAGCTTTCCTGCCTGCGTGGGGGAGGGGGAAGCCGCACCCAGGTGAGGACCTAAGCGGAGGGCTTGGTGCTGACTCTGGGGTGAGCTGGGAGGAAATGCGGAGGCAGCACCAGCCAGGAGCCCAGCAGGCAGGGCAGCTGGGAGGGGGTGGGCGGGCTGGCTGCCAGATGCCGGGAAGCTGATTTTGCTGGTACAGGAAGGGTCATTGCACTATTGCTTCCTGTGCGGCTTTGACTGAGAGAAAGGAGTATGTGTGTGAGTGTGTGTGTATGCATGTGTGTGTGTCATCCCTGAATAACCAGGGCACCCAGCTGTCTCTGGATTTATCCTGAGATGCACCAGCCCCTGCGGGGGGCACGGGAGCCAGGCCAAGCCAGGGAGGGCCCGGAACCAAACCCCGGTATCCAGAAGAGCACGGCCATGTGTGAAGCCCCTTACAGTTTCCCGGGACCATTGAGCTTTGGGCTCTCACTGCCTGGGTCCCAGTTCTGTTTCCACCGCTTTTCCATGTGCTCACTAAGTGCTCTGGACCTCAGTGTCCTCATCTGTAAAACGGGACAGCCACCCCACAGTAGCCCCTCGTAGGGCTGCAGAGAGCACTCGATGAGTTAATGCCCTGGAAAGTGCCCAGGACAGCACCTGGCCCAGAGAAGTCCTTGGCACCATAGTAACTGCTGTTATTTTCTCAGGGCCGTGGGGCTCCATGTAAGAAGGTGGGCAACGTACCACACTCAGTGCTCTGTGCCTTGCTCCCTTCCTCCCGTTCTGCCCGCCCGCTGGCCCCCAGCCCCCTGGCCCTGGGTGTGGGGCGGACAGCCGTCCCACAGGGCAGGCCGCTCACAGCATCCCCCCGGCTCTCTCACAGTCCTGCCCGCGGCGCACGGCAGCCTGTTCAACCTGAAGTCCATGGTGGAAGCCATCACCGGGAAAAGTGCCATCCTGTCCTTCGTGGGCTACGGCTGCTACTGCGGGCTGGGGGGTGGCGGCCAGCCCATGGATGAAGTGGACTGGTAGGTTCCAGCAGGCCTGGGCTGCTGTCAGGACCGGGTGGGTGCAGAGCAGGTCAGGCCGATGCGCATCTTCGAGAGATGGGAGAGGGCCCTTTCCCCAAAGCACGAGGCTTCTTTGATGAGTTAGTGATGATGAGCCTGACCTTTGACCCATGCCCTCTCCTACTTATCTCGGACAATATCTATTGTCCATCTCCCGGGTCCTGGGCTTGGAGGCACCTGAGCTCCCACTCTTGCCAGGAAGGAACCTTTGATCTGCCCCAAACCCACGAGAGCAACAGCCACACAGCTCCCACCTAACAGAGGCGAGGGCTGTGGCCCCTGCCCCCCGGACTGGAGGCCCTGGAGGACAAGGTTGTAGCAACTTCCTCCGTCAGACAGGGGTTCCCAGAGGCCCTGGCTTACCTTCTGCTCCTCTCTCCCTGAAGGCGGCCAGCACCAAGTCCAGTATCCCGGGGAGCTACATAAATACACATTGGCTAATTGTTTGCCCTCCACCAGAGGGGACAGGAATAGCCACAGCACATTGGCCTCCTGTCCCCCACCCCCAGCTCGGCCCTTCAGACCTTTGTCTTTCCTGGCCGTCAGGCGCAGCCAAGTGTTGGCCGCTCCACACAGTCCGTCTATAACCCTAGCCCTCCCTCCCTCCCTGACCAGGTGGCCAGACCACCTGACCACAGCTGTAGCGAGGGCTCCAAGGGCGAATTCGGGAGCCCTGGGCACAGGACAAAGAGACAGAACTGTGGACAAGGACCAAGGGCACCGGCCAGCTCTGCCTGGTGTGTGACCTCAGACAAGGAACTAGCCCTCTCTGGGCCTCAGTCTGAAGGTCTGAGCAGTGAGGCAATAGAGCAGACGGACGGTCAGGGTCTCTGAGGGTGGGAGCTGAGCCGAGCCTGGCTCTGCGGGCCTGCTCCCCTCTGCCCGCCCCCAGGTGCTGCCACGCCCATGACTGCTGCTACCAGAAGCTCTTCGACCAGGGCTGCCACACCTACGTGGACCACTACCAGTACACCATCGAGAACAACTCCACGATCATCTGCAGTGAGTCCCTCCCCTGACCTCTGCCCGCAGCCAGTGCTGGGGCCCCGTGTGTGCTGCGTGCGGGGCTGCCAGATGAAAGAGAGGACGTCAGTTACATTTGAATTTCAGATCAACCATGAAGCATGTTTACACATAAGTATGTCCTAAATGTTGCATGGGTTCTAATTATACTAAACTTAAATGCTAACATGAAATCAATTAGTACAGAATGAAGAATTTGCATAAGTATGTCCCGTGCAACAGTTGGGGCGTGCTTCCACTAAACGTATTTGTCTGAAATTCAAATGAACCAGGCCTCTTGTTTGTGTTTGTTTGTTTGGTAAGCCTAACAACCCTCCTCGTGGCTCTGGCACGCGTCCCTGGTATGTTCTGATCTCCAAGCCTGAACCGGTCCCGGGTAGAGAGCGATTCTGATGCAGTGAACCGGGGTGGGGCCCGGAGTCTCTGCTGTCCACCGGGTCCTCAGGTGGCTGTGCGGCTGTGTGACACACTGGCCTGGGACTCCGGGGACGTGGGTTCTCCCAGGCTCTGACGGCATCTCCTCGTCACGGAGCCCTGGGCAGGGCCCTCCCCTACCTGGCTTCAGCCTCCCCATCGGTACAGGAAGGAGTGCGGACCAGAGCAGACCGGTTCCCTTCCAGTTCTGTCACTGATGGGACCCCACCAGAAGGTGGCCCCATCCCAGGACGCTCAGTTTTTCCAGAATTCAAGCTATTGGAGCCAGGCCTGGTGGAGTTCCCGCCTTTGCTTTGGACCCTCCAATGGCTTTTCCCCAGCGAAGGGGTGTGGCATCCAGGCTGACGGCCCAGGTGTCCCTGCCCTGCCTCCCCTTCAGTGCCCCTCCCTGGGGCAGCAGTTACCCCCTGATCCAGTGCTGTGGGCAGCCCGGGGCTTCCTTCGCCTTCTGTCTTAACCAGGCTCTGCTCCTTGTCCTTCACGCACAGCTCACCAGCAAACCCAGCTTTGCAAAGAGACTCAAGTCTCCTGTTCTCTGGGAAAGAGTCTGGGGGGAACTGGGCACATCTGGGGCCCTCGGGAGCTCAGGGCTCTGTGGCCCTCCCATTCAGCTGTTCAAACGTGGGGTGGAGGGGCTGGTTTGAGAGAGGGGGGTGTCCCTCCATTCAAACCCAAGCAATGGTTTCTGCAATGGCTTCTGGGATTCCTGGGGGGCAGGGGGCAGCTGCTGTGAGAGGGGCTGGTGGGGGAGGGGGGTGGCCCCTGAGTGGTCCAGCTGCTGTTTATATGATAGCTTAGGAAGCCTTCTTTCTCAGCAACTGCTGTATTAGCCTTCTGCAAAGACTTTCATTTGGTTGAAGTATTTGCAAACCATTGACTAGTGGGTGGTTCTCAAAGGGTGTTCCCCCCCCCGGCGACCTCAGCACCACCCAGGCACTGGCTAGAAATGCAGATGATCAGGCCCTGCCCTGACCTACTGAGACTCAAGCTCCAGGGGCGGGGGCGGGCCGTCGGGTTAACAAGCCTCCCAGCTGATTCTAATGCACGGCTACGGCTGGGAACTGTTGGGATCCGCGATTTCTGGAGCTGATGTGCACAGCAGCAGGTGCCGCGTGCTAAGCGTTTCCTCCGTGGGAGGCACTAAGCTAAGCTCTTTACAGGTGTTTTCCTCACTGGATCCTTGCCACAGACCCCCTCCGGGGTGGGCGTTCTGTGGCTCTGTGACCGATGAGAGGAGGCCCGGGGTGGTACAAAGTAACAGACGGGGAGGGGGTGGTGAGTTCCCGATACCTGAGCTCCTGTCCCAGCTCTGCCTTGGGCTTGCTGGGTGACTTAGGTAAACCCCACCCCCTTCTGGGCCTCAGTTTCTCAACAGTGCAATGACATGGGTCTCTGAGTCATTGAGTGGGTCTCCAGGTCTAGCACACAGCAGAGCTGCAGGGGGCCAGGCCGGCCCAGAGATTCACCGCCCGCAGGCCTGGGGGGGGCCCGCCCGTGGTGCTGGGGAGGCCAGCCCTGGGACCGCTGGACCCTCAGAGCACATGCACTCCCCTCCCCATAGGAGACCTCAACCTGACGGATTGCGACAGGCAGACCTGTGAGTGTGACAAGAGTGTGACTCTGTGTTTCCAGAAGCATAATTACAATGAGAAGCATCGCAACTACCTCAATATCTACTGCCAGGGCGCCACCCCCAACTGCAGCATCTATGAGCAGCCCCGGGGGAGCCCCACCTCCTCAACACCCCGTGCACCCTGCAGCCCCACCTCCCAGGCACCCCCTGCACCCTGCGGCCCCACCTCCTTGGCACCCCCTGCACCCTGCAGCTCGACTTCCTCAGCACCTCCTGCACCCTGTGGCCCGACCTCCCCAGCACCCCTCGCACTGCCCTAGCATCCTCTGGGCTCTGACAGAGAAGAGGGGTGGCAGTTCCTGCTCTGGGGACCAGACACGTGGAGCAGGAAGAGGTGGGGATGGATCAAGAGCCTGCGGGCTGCCCTGCCACCTCCTCCCTGGAGCTCTCCGGCAAGGCTGGCCCCCAGAGGATGCAGGAAGGCCTGGGCCCTGACTGTGGCCACCCAGCTCCTCCAGTCCAGCCCTGAGCACGGCTGTGCCCTGCTGTTGGTCCTGAACTTGGCAGGGAACGTATGGCTAGTTGGGGTCCCTTCCGAATATGGAAGACAAGGTCTGAGAGAGAGGCCTCAGGCCCCTGGGCCCCTGACAAACACGGGAGAAGACAGGGCCCAGCTTCAGCCTCTTCCCCTGCGCCTCCCCTCACGCAGCAGCTAGGCCAGTGGGTGGAAAGGCCTTAGGCCCGGGCAAAGAAGGGCTAAAGGTTGGGACCCACCTGGGTGAACAGGGACACAAAAGCCCAGGTGGGAAGCTGGGAAGATTCAGGAAGGCAGGAGGGAGGGAGCAGACTGGGGGGAGCGGGGAGGGTGGAGAGGAGGTGGGAGAAGGGGAGACAAGGGGAGGGTCAGAGGTCTAGACCAGACGTGTGGCACTGGGTGGGGTATCTGGAATCTCTGAAGGGGGAAAGGGGGAGCAAGGGCCACGTTTTCTGAGGAAGGGGCTCCTTGTTCCTGTACTCTGGAGGTTCCCTCCTCCCTTTGGGCTCCTTCCAAGTTAGTGAGGTCTGCAGGGCTCGGGCCTGAGGAAGGGGCTGCGCTTGCTTCGAGTTGCTCTGGGGGCTGCACTGACAAGGAGCCCCTCCTTGACCAGACTTTAGTTGGGCTCCTTGAGACCTCTGACCAACCGTTGGGTTTCCAGGCCCATCTTGGCATCAGCAGTTTTAGCAAGAACGCTGCGGGGTAAAGGTAGTGAGAATCCCCGGCCACCCTCCACATCTGACCAGATTCCACATCCGCCCCGCCCCCGCAGGCACTGTCTCACCGCCCCGCCCCGGCCTGCCTTCAGCGAGAATCCTACTAGGTCAGTTTAGCAACCAACTCTCTGCTCCTCTTGGCTATAAATCCCCACTTAAGAAAAACAAGGGTCTGTAATTGTCCTGTTAAGAATTGAGCCCTGTTCTATACTGGCCCCTGTTGCAATAGTCTTGAATAAAATCCGTTTCTACCAATTAAACTACTGTCCAGCATCTGGCTTTCTAACGGTCATAGTGTCACGGCTCAGATGACGTCTGATTCATCATTGGGCCCTGGACCTCTCACCCAGGACCCCAAGTGTGCGCCTCAGAAGCCTTTGTCTGACGGACTGGGGTCCGACTCCCGAGCCAGCACTGCGGATGCCTGTCCCCTGAAGCTCGGGACAACAGGCTTTGATTCCCGAGGTTCTGAGTATGCTCTCTGAAGCTGGATTCGAGTTCCAGGCAGCTTTGTCTGCGGAGTGCCTGCTGGGCTAGGAGTCCTTCTTCCCAGCTCTATCTTTTGAGCAGGGATTCACTCCCTGACTCTCCAGGCTGGAAAATGTTTCCTGGCTCTTTGGAGAGCTTCTTCTCTCTTCTCTCTGCTTGATTCTGCTCCTCCCAGATGTACTTCCCAGACACCTGAGACCCTGCTTCTCACACCCCTGCTGACTTTGGAATTTCACGGACTTCCATGGAAATGGGAGACCTCCACGAACAGGCTCCTGTAAGCCCTCCCCCTTCCTGGCTCCTCCTAACCTTTGGTCTTCCCGCCGGTTCCCAGGAACCTGTCGGTAGGAGCCCCTTCCCACCTCTATGGCCTCCTCCCTCCGTCCACCCTGCGGGATCATTTCTAAGATGAAAAACTACTGAAACATTAATTACTAAGCACAAGTTCAGGCTTATATCCTTTTGGCTTCTTTTTATAAGGGGTAGAAGATATATTTGGGTCTCTTCACAAGCATAAAAAGTTGTAGTAGAGGAAGCATATGTTTTTAGAAGTTGTGAGACGGTATATCGATAAAATTTGCTGATTTGCTATAGAATGTCGCTATGTGGCAGACAGCTTACAGTTGCCTACTTCCTGGGTTCCCCTGGCAAGTAAGGTCACTGGTCACTGAGGGTTGAGGATGCTATTAGACACGTGTAAACACAACTGCTAAGAATTATGGGGATGGAGACAAAAATTCTGTATGGAAAGAACGTAAGATACGTTTTTGTTTTTTAAAATAGGTGAGTGGCTTTGGTTTAAAGTTGCTGTTGAGAAGTTGTTTAAGAAATGTCACAGAATGAAAAAGAGAAAGCTATAGGACAAAGACACCTTTACTGAATATAGAAAATTGTAAAGGATTTGTGAAAAAAATTTACATGCAGTCAAGCTGGCTAAGACTGAATTGATTTATTTATAAGGTTTTTGTTTTGTTTTGTTTGTTTTTTAAATTACATGTCTGAAGATCAGATTTAACTATCAGTTCTGGGTGATTTTTTTAATACTTCTTTTTTTTTAGATTTTATTTATTTATTTTTTAGAGAGGGAAGGGAGGGAGAAAGAGAGAGAGAAACATCAATGTGTGGTTGCTGGGGGCTGTGGCCTGCAACCCAGGCATGTGCCCCGACTGGGAACCAAACCTGCAATGCTTTGGTTTGCAGTCTGCACTCAATTCACTGAGCTATGCCAGCCAAGGCTATTTATAAGTTGTTGTTTTTTTTAAATGAGCCCAACAGCGTATCAGTGCAAATGCAGATTTGGTTTTCTCTGTTGAAACAGCAAAGTTTTCCTGGATTACTGGCCTGCTCTTGACACGAGATTGTAAAGGATTTTTCTTTACCCTTTGAGCGAACTGCCTGGGAAAGGGAGGAGTCTGAGTTTCACCTGGGCTTATATTCATTGTGTCATTGATTTTTTAAGAGAGCCCAGAATTCTCACTTTTAAAAGAGCCAAGGATATTTTGGTTACTTTTTGTTTTTACACTTTTGACAGGTTTGCTTTTTCCCAAATCAAATCTTAAATGAAATCTTGATCTCACACTGGCCTTTCAGAGGGCCCTGGAAAATCTCAAAAGATTTGTTCTCTCACCTTGTAAAAAGAGAGATGCTAAAAATAACCTGGTTTATTTGACATGTTAAATTGCACGACAGGCGTCAAATAAGAAGGGATTATTTCACCTTCTCTAAGTTATGTTTATATGTGTAAGTATTTTTAAAATTGTATGAAGTTCATAGAACTTTGTCAATGGCCTTGCTGTCCATGAAATGTCCTGGTTCAAAGTTATTGGTCATGATTCCAGTTATTATCTGAATACATTGTATTCTACAGGGACAAGTACAGTTCCTTGTCAATTGCATTGTCTCAACAGATCTTTAAGCATGGCCAGTGTAAGTGCTTTGTCATTTACAGGTAGTTATTTTCTCTGATGCTTTTCTGAAAATAGCCAGAATGCTTAGTCTTCATCAAAAAGGACTATTTCCAAGACCCACGGAAAGGACAGGTTTCTGAAGACATTGAAAACTTTGAGATCGTATCACTGGACTGAGTAAGGATTTCCAGAACTAATAGAGATGCTGATGGGTTCATAAAACTGTTAACCCAAGATCAAGCAAAACAAAAGTTAATTCCACAAGATTGCACTAATCAATGAAGGATGATTGCTTGGAACACTTTGCCTGGAACATTTCTTATTCTTGAATGTTCTAATTTTGGGGGGATTTAAGGACCTCTTTTCCCTTTTATCTTTTTTTTAAAATGTATTTCATTGGTTATGCTATTACAGTTGTCCCATTTCCCCTCTTCACTCTCCTCCCCCCTGCACACCCCCCACATTCCTCCCCTTTAGTTCATGTCCATGTGTCATAAGTTCTTTAGCTTCTACATTTCCCATACTGTTCTTGCCCTCCCCCTGTCTATTTTCTCCCTACCTTCTATGCTACTTATTCTCTGTACCTTTTCCCCCTCTCTCCTCCTCCCACTCCCCTGTTGCTAGCCCTCCATGTGGTCTCCATTTCTGTGGTTCTCTTCCTGTTCTAGTTGTTTGCTTAGTTCATTTCTGTTTTAGGTGTGGTTGTTAATAACTGTGAGCTTGCTGTCTTTTTACTGTTCATATTTTTTATCTTCTTTTTCTTAGATGAGTCCCTTTAACATTTCATAAAATAAGGGCTTGGTGATTCTATTTCCTTTGCCAGATTGGATGAACTCCTTTAACTTGACCTTATCTGGGAAGCACTTTATCTGCCCTTCCATTCTAAATGAAAGCTTTGCTGATAGAGCAATCTTGGATGTAGGTCCTTGCCTTTCATGACTTGGAATGCTTCTTTCCAGCCCCTTCTTGCCTGCAAGGTCTCTTTTGAGAAATCAGCTGACAGTCTGATGGGAACTCCTTTGGAGGTGACTGTCCCCTTATCTCTTGCTGCTTCTAGAATTCTCTCCTTCATTTTAATCTTGGGTAATGTAATTATGATGTGCCTTGGTGTGTTCCTCCTTGGGTCCAACTTCTTTGGGACTCTCTGGGTTTCCTGGACTTCCTAGAAGTCTATTTCCTTTGCCAGATTGGGGAAGTTCTCCTTTATTATTTGTTCAAATAAGTTTTCCACTTGCTCTTCCTCTTCTCTTTCTGGTACCCCTATAATTCAGATGTTGGAACATTTCAAGATGTCCTGGAGGCTCCTAAGCTTCTCCTCATTTTTTTGAATTCTTGTTTCTTCATTCTTTTCTGATTGTATGTTTTTTTTCTTCCTTCTGGTCCACTCCATTGATTTGAGACCCAGTTTTCTTTCCATCACTCTTGGTTTCCTGTGCATTTTTCTTCATTTCAGTTAGTGTAGCCTTCATTTTTTCATCTAATTTGCGGCCGAATTCAACCAATTCTGTGAGCATCCTGATCACCAGTGCTTTGAACTGTGCATCTGATAGGTTGGCTATCCCTTGGTTGCTTAAAAGTATTGGCTCTGGTGCTTTGACTTGTTCTTCTGTTTGAGCCTTTTTTTTTTTTTTCCGGTCTGGTCGTGCCTGTTATGTATGAGGGGTGGAGCCTTAGGTGTTCACCAGGGTGGGGCAACCCAGTCTCTGGGTTGTGATGCTGTATGTGGGGGCAGGGTCAGAGAGGGAACAATGGTGCTTGCTCCACTCTCTGTTGGATTTCAGTCCTGTCTGCCACTTCCCACAAGCAAATCGGGCCCTTCTGGTGCTGGTTCCCGGGTGGGTGCACTTGTGTACATTCTAGGACCCCGTGGATCTCTCCAATGAACTCTCCTGTGAGGCTGGGAGTCTCTCCCTGCACCTCAACCCCCACAGGTGTTTTCAATTGGTGTTTTGAAGCTTTATTTCCCGGCGCTGGATCCCTGGGTTGAGCAGTCCGTCTCGTTGCCCATTTTCACCTTGTTTATCTGCGCGCAAATGTGTGACTGTGGACAGCCAGCTGCCTTGCTCGCCTCACTGAGTCTGCTCATTGCCTCCCCGAGCCCGTGCCCAGGGTCTGCCACCAGGGTCTGCTAACCGCTGCTTTTTCCTGCTGTGACCCCTCTCCGCCGGCCGCCGACTCCGCCCCCTTACCCGTCTGGATGAATGGTTGTCGGGACTTTCGTACAGTTCAATTTTCTGTCTATTCTGGTTGGTTTTTTGTTTCTAAATTTTTGCTATCCTTAATTTTGGTTGTGCAAGGAGGCATAGTGTGTCCACCTATGCCTCCATCTCGGCTGGAAGCCCCCCCTCTTTTATCTTAAGTTACCTATAACTCATGACAATGTAGTAGATTATGTTCTCCTTAAACAAAAATGAAACATTTATCTTTTCTCCCTGCCTGATCCCTCCAGAATTTGGAAACTCTTCTTGAGTATTCTTATTTTCACGACAACATACTTATTTACATCAGTTCAATAGGAATCTGTTTCCTTATAACAGAACATAATAGGGAACACTGGTTACATAACCCAGGCCTGGCTGGAATGTCATATCTGAGAATGCTTCACACAGAATATCACTTAAAGAACTGGAGGTGACTTTCGGGAGCCGATGCTTACAAAGGCCTCCAGGATACAGCAGCCTGGTCCCTATGAAGACGAGTAGGGAAAGTCCGTATCTGGCAGACCCAGGGGACAGGATTTCTTGGCGGTCTTGAGAGGAGAGGACTTCACCCAAATCTATGGGTGTGGCAAGAGAAATCTGGTGGTGAGTTCTTGGCTTTGCTTCCTAGCCTTGAGAAGCTTTTAAAAGTCTAATCTGAGATTC